CTGGGACAGGGGCAGACTGGTGCTTGGAAGTCCCTGGGAGAGGGATATGTTGACGCTTGGAGGTCACTGGGAGAGGGGTATGTTGACACTTGGAGGTCCCTGTGACAGAGAATAGGTAACAGGAAGCACATTTCAAGAATTAGCATTTCCCTATCTCCTTCTCCCTTCCAGATTGTATTTAATAGAACAGTGACCCTGAAGGAGGATCCCGGGAAGATTTGAATGTATTCTACCGACTCCAGATGAGAAATCCAGGCACACAAGACTGCACGACAACCACAAGACCCGCTTGCCTTAACTTGGAGGGGAATGAAGCTCTATCCAAAGCCCAACTGGTTTTTGTTTATATTTTCAATAGAAACTGAATAAATATGCAAATATTTAATCGTCTTTCTGCTAATTATTTGTGGGGAATTCCATTTTGTTCTCGTTTTTACACTTTTCATTTTGGTCAGAGCTGCAACCCACTTTGGTAGCTACATGTCCAAAAAAATAGGTGGAGTTTATCCAGCATTGGTGAGGTTTGTTGTGCAGGTTAGAAAAAAAATGGTTCAGCTACAACGGCTGGTCTTATGGGTCTGTATTAGTCTGTTTTAATAAAATGCAATTCAAAGAATGGACAGTACCCAATGCAACAGATTCACAAGGTTATTAGCATTCTGTGACCTTTTATAAATACACAATGCCCCACTCCCTACAGCCAGAACTTGTCTTGCTCAACCGTGGGTGGAGATTTTGAGGTAGGAATCTCTTTTTGTACTGACAAGGGTACGTACACCTAGAATTCACACAGGTTTATCTGTATGCCAGTCAGACTTCTTTCAGCAATAACCCATATCAGCCTGATACTGAAGTCAGATGACCAAAAGTCAGGCTCTGATTGGTAGCTGTGGGTTATTGCACTTAGCGGTACAGAATAAACCTCACAAGTGAGGGAGCAATACTTTGTGGTTCCTGCCAGTGAGAGAGCGGCGATTTGTAGAGTAGTTTTTGGGCCTATCTGGCTATCCTGTTGCAGGATCTCTAGTGTGACAAGGCCAAAGGCTGTATCCGTTCGTATGTTGGTTATGATGAATAAGGAATAGTGTATGCCTTGCTATAACCAAGGATATTGTAACTCTGTTATGTGAGGTTATGTCACCTTTTAAAGTCAAACATTCCTATATATAAACTTGACATTCATACATAAGAACATATTTGTGGAATTCTTCCCCCTAAACCTGCTTGTTACTATCCATTACAAAGAGCCGGGGGGACAATGCTGCATAGTCACCAATCAGGTTCTCGGTTTTATGTTTCCAGTACAGTGTTAGAAAATATGACTGGTTGTTATGGCCAACAAGAAGTGTTCTTTCTGATACATTCATGTTTGAGCCATTGTGTCTAAAATTATATACAGCTACCCAATGTCTCAAGAGGAACCAGTGATACAGGTGAGAAATACCAAGGAAAGCTGGGATGGATTATGCCAGGAGCTGTACTCGAGCAAAGCCTGCTGGGAAACCTCATTTCTATTGACGCAAGGCTTGGGGCTTGTGTCAATGGCACATCAGTTGGAGACATTTCTGGTGCAATAAACCTGCAGTTGCATTTGACCATAAAGCGGGTTTTGCATTCCCATAGATCAGCCTTTCTCAACCAGGGTGCCATCTCACCCTGGTGTCCCTTCTGGCTTCCTCAGGGGTGCCTTGAAATTTTCACGCAAAGTCATACCTCTGATGAAGGCTTCTGATGTGAAAGGAGGGCTGTAATATTAAGGGGACTCTGATGTGAAGAGGGGTGCTCCCTCCTTGTAATGTATACCAGTCCCGTATCTCGTATAAGGGTTTGGTATGGATTTTGGAGGGACCACATGTCGTTTTTTACATTTACAGTTTCTACATTTTAGACCGGGGTGCCTTGAGAATTTGCATGCTTTTAAAGGGTGCCGTGACTGAATAAAGGTTGAGAAACGCTGCCCTAGACTTCTAAAGGAATGCAAAACCCGTTTAAAGGAAACAGCCCATCAACACAGGCAATAAAGCCGACCAAAGTAAGACTCTTAGCTTCTGGATCTACTCCTAAAAGTAAGCAACTGCTGATGAGCGTTGTGCCACTCAACATAATAGGCTTAGGCGCTGAAATGCGTTGGCTGTGTGTACAGTTTTTTAAATTTGGTATAATATCAGTGTGATGCTTCAAGTCTGGATCTACTCATTCTGGTCACAGCCCAAGGATACCCTGGCACTCTTTTTGTTGTGTAGAAGCCACCAGCCCATTGTCCTGACATCATGCAGTTCTACCATCTCCACATGGTGATTTTTAGGTAAGCCTCCAGGAATCCAGTGCCAAACACCTACTCTGCTAAGACTTTGAAAGGCCAATGTGAGCAATGTTACCATCAAATATTTAGAAGAACTATGCTGAGATTTCACTTAATGAATTGTTAAAGCAACCCTGCCATAGGTTACAAATCTCCAGAAATGAATACCCTGCAAAAAATGTGTTTTAAGTTCTAGATGCTTGACTGTCAATGACAGTGGTGGCGAACCTTGGCACTCCAGCTGTTTTGGAACTACAAGTCCCATGAGGCATTGCAAGGCTCTGACAGCCACAGACATAACTCCCAAAGGCAGATGCATGTTGGGATTTGTAGTTTTGGCACAGCTGGAGTGCCAAGGTTGGCCACCACTGGTCTATGACATCAATACTTTGAGATGATGAGCCCATACAACCATGCAGATCAGGTATATCATTCCTACTGTAGGAAGCATTTTGGATCTGCCAAGTGGATTGTTGCTGCATCTCTTTGCCAAAAACCACAGCAAGGGCAAAGGGTAGCCAGATGACTACATGGATGAGTCCTGAGGAGACATGCCGTGTTCTTGAAGGACGGACCTGTTTAATGGAATAATCTTGGTCTGAATGTTCAATTCCGTACTATTTGCCTGAGGTTCGGTTTTATCTTTCGACAGCTTGGATAAAAGTCAATTTCTGTCATTGCTATGTGTTTTCCCATTGGAGATATTTCCCATTACTTCCTCTCCTGATGACACCAAGATCGGAAATAAGGGGGTTCGGGTGTCAATAGGACAGGAAAACAAGCACTCAATAAATTGGACGGATGTTCTAACCCATATGCGTCAAACACAAGGCCCGCGGGCTGAATCCGGCCTGCCAGGCCATTTCATGTGGCCCTCGCCCCTCTCCTGCAGCTTTACATTTTTTAAACCAAAGTCGGCGCTGTAAACGGGCGCCAGCCTTCACTAGAATGCTGCCAAGGTCCTCGCAGCCTTTCCGTGAATCGTGGCACCTGTTTACAGCGCCGGCTGACAATCTCCTCCTTCCTGCGGATCCATGCTGTCTGCACCCACCGAGGCTGACCGGGACCCCTGGTGCAACCGCACAGCCACCTGAGAGTCTGCTCTATTACACTAATTGCCATTATTTTACCTAGACTTCTACTTTCAGAGCCAGTTATTACTAAAACCAGTAATAATCGAATGCAGAGGAAATGATTTATTATGATAAAGAGTAGATCCATTTATTTAGTCTTACAGATACATCCTGACTTTTTGAGGGCAACCATAATGTTGATGTGCCTGCGAGTAAATAGGGTTCGACACCCCTGATCTAACTTATTCCTACAAAATGCCTTTGCTGCTGTCTCTGTCCCCACTGAAAAGTATTACAGAATTTCCTGTCCTTGTCACTCCCAATCACAGGGAATGAAATTTAGCACTAATCTTCCCATTGAGGACACAGAAGGCAATACAAATCAAACTCTTACACCCCATACAAAACAAAAATAAATAAAACATTTTGTGGGAGTTGGGATGCAATCTGGAAAGGACTTCGTGGCTTGTGTAGCTATAGCACCGGAGTCCTCTGAGTTGTTACCAACAGGGCCTGAACACCATTTGTTTGGCCCTGGAGTGTGTAGGCTTCCTCCAGCAGTCTTACTGGTGGAGGGGGGAATTATGGTGGGGGGTGTTTTTCAGGGGTTGGGCTTGGCCCCTTATTTCCAGTGAAGGGAACTCTTACTGCATCAGCATACAAAGACATTTTGGACCATTTCATGCTCCCAACTTTGTGGGAACAGTTAGGGGGATGTTTCGTACTCTCGATCATCGCAAGCCTGCCCCCCTGAGGGGCGGGCTTCCGATGACCGCAATGCTGAACGGGCAGTGTGCGCACACAGGCCCGTTGGGCATTTGTCTCCCGAGCACCGTTCAAACCAGCCGCAAATCGTACGATTTTCGGCTGGTTTTCTAGCGTGCTCCTTAGACAAAAGACGTGCAACCGTACAGTAGAAACGGTCGCATGTCTTCGTTCACACTGCTCGATCCTCGTACGATCGCGGGATTTCCCGCGATTCTCGTACGAGAATCGAGCAGTGTATGGGCACCTTAAGACTAGGATGCCATTAAGGTTCATGTGATGATAGGTGATCTGATTGGCGGGCCAGGAAGCAACGGGAGAGGTGGAGAAATCGCAGATAATGAAGTAGAAGCAGGGAGATCCTTGCACTGTAGTTCTTCAGGTGCAGCTTCCTCTCCAGCAAGAAGAACAGTAATGACATCACCAAATCTCCTGAGACTGGCATTCAAAGACAACCGTCTCACCCTGCACATGCATACATGTCGCCTCTAACTATGATTGCAAATAACTCACTTCATAGTTCTCCTTTACGCTATAATAAAAACTGATAGACGTGTACTAATATAATACCATTGTATATTTATTTCACACATATATATTTCAGGGATGGAACTACAGAACACTTCATGAAAACTGTTTTTCCACTCATATAATGTGTCAATGTAAATTAATTTTAAAAATATTCTGGGGATAGAACTAAAGCTATATATATTTAGTTGAGGTCTACCTATGATGCCAATTACAGGCCTCTCTCATCTTTTTAAGTGGGAGAACTTGCACAATTGGTGGCTGACTAAATACTTTTTTGCCCCACTGTAGATCTATATATAGATCTATATATATATACCAGTAATAAATAATACATCAAAATAAAGAATAGATCATAAAACTGCTATTACACTAAAGCCCTCAGGGACAGGGCCCTCCTTACCATCTTGTCTTGCATTGTAATTATAATGTCTTTCCTATATTGTAAAGCGCTGGGCAAACTTTTAGCGCTATATAAATCCTGTATAATAATAATAAATGCCATTGTATGTTTATTTTTTTAAAGTATCCGGTGAATAGAACTACAAAATCCATCATGAAAACATTTTTTTTGCACGTGTTCTAATATAATGTAATTGTATTTTATTTCATTGTATTTTTTATATCCTAATGTTAAAACTTCACTTCTAGTGAGTGGCCAACAATCACCCAGCTAACTGTACCCAGTAAGTCCAGGGACCTCCTGTGCTAACCACTACATGACCATGCAGCTCCTCTGGGTCCACCTGTAAAACCCGGACGCTGTACCTTTAAAGTTCAGCACATTTCCCTTGTATACAAACACAGTAACTAGTCACTGGCTCACCAGCTTCCCAAGTCTGGGTTTAAGGTGGAGCGGCCCAGTTGCTGCTCCTGGCATAGGGAGGCTGCAGCTCTCCTCAGTGCAGAGGGACAGAGGACTCCTTATGTGAGCACACACCTTCCGCACACTAGCATGCTCCGTGCCCGGCTCCCGCTTAAGGTAGGGAACCTCCTGAGCCGGGGCTGATGGCAGACACAGGCGCCGTGCCACCTTAAGCAGAAGTGTTGCTGTGCAGAGTGGGAGGTTATAGAGTAGCACATGGATATGTTAAAGCTGCCCTGTCCTTGCATGCAGACACCGTGCACAGAGCAGGGCTGACCCACTGCTGCAAGCCAGGCTGACTTTACTGATGACTGGCTCTGTCAGCTTATAGTTAAAGTGCCTCTGACGTCACAGATTTCAGATCATTGCGCCATGTGGAATGATGTGACCTTTTTTTTTTAGGGTCTTGCACCTCCTGGAAACCTGCATTTCCCAGCCTGCCCTCTGCTCTGCCTTCCCATTCCCTATACTAATGCACTGAGCTGGTAACATTTTGCAACATAGTTGCAGCTTTGAGAACTGGACCGACTGGGGGCACTCGCACAGGGAGCAGCCTGAAAGTTTAAAGCAGGTGCTGTGCTAAGACTACACACCCCATCATGCTTCTGCCTGTGGGAGTCATGCCGGTGACCGTCAGAGTCTTGCAATGCCTCATGGGACTTGTAGTTCTACCACAGCTGGAGGGCCTAAGTTCCCTACCCCTGCTTTAAAAATACATCTAGTAGGTTTTAAGTATGGTAAGATTGCAATGTGTGTGGTGACCCGTAAACTGCTGACTGGTGTTTTTTTTTCTTCTATCTGTGGCCCATTAGGGAGATTTATCTTCACTTCTTGTTCCGTAGACTCAACAGGAAGTGGGAAAAGATCTTTCCGATGTGAGAGAAATCTCCTCTTAGTTGTCGCAGGAACAAGCGTCCCCATTGGAAGGTTTTCCCTCTATACCTGTTCTGGTGACAACTCAAAATGTTGGGTTTGCCCTCGCTTTCATTCCAGGTGAGCAGGACAATTAAAGAGTGAATCCTTCTAATGGGGACAGTAATAAAAACCTGACAGGGCGTCTCACTTCCCAGCACAGGGGTGGGCAACCTCAGCACTCCTGCTGCTGTGGAACTACAAAGCCCATGAGGCATTGCAAGACTCTGACAGCCACAGGCATGGCTCCCAGGGGCGAAGGTGTGATGGAATTTGAAGTAAAATGTATGTTTTTGTTTGTTTTGGATCCCATAAGGAAGGAATAAAACCCCTGTCAGGTTTTCATTGTTTCTTTGTCCCCGATAGATTCACTATCTGGGAGAAAAAGATTCACTCTTTATTTCTCTTGGTATGTAGTCACTGAGAGAGGAAGTGATGGGAAATTCAACATTTTACATTTGTCACCGGAAGTGAGGGGAAATCTTGTCACCTGTTCCTGTGACAACTTTCTAAGAGAGGATTTTCCTCAATTTGGAGGTTTCCTTTTACTTCCTGTTGCATCCCTGGTACAGGAAGTGGTGAGAAAACTGCTCAGTAGGACAGAGACATTAAAGGGGTCAGGCTGGCTATTTAAGGGGTCAGGCTGGCTATTAAGGGGGTCAGGCTGGCTATTAAGGGGGTCAGGCTGGATATCTAAGGGGTCAGGCTGGATATTTAAGGGGTCAGGCTGGATATTTAAGGGGTCAGGCTGGATATTTAAAGGGGTCAGGCTGGATATTTAAAGGGGTCAGGCTGGATATCTAAGGGGTCAGGCTGGATATCTAAGGGGTCAGGCTGGATATCTAAGGGGTCAGGCTGGATATCTAAGGGGTCAGGCTGGATATTGAAGGGGTCAGGCTGGATATTGAAGGGGTCAGGCTGGATATTGAAGGGGTCAGGCTGGATATTATAAGGGGTCAGGCTGGATATCGAAGGGGTCAGGCTGGATATCGAAGGGGTCAGGCTGGATATCGAAGGGGTCAGGCTGGATATTATGAGGGGTCAGGCTGGATATTTAAAGGGGTCAGGCTGGATATTTAAAGGGGTCATGCTGGATATTTAAAGGGGTCAGGCTGGATATTTAAAGGGGTCATGCTGGATATTTAAAGGGGTCAGGCTGGATATTTAAAGGGGTCAGGCTGGACATATCCATCCAGACCTCAGGGAAAGAGGCCAAGCAGTTAATAAGCAAGCATGTGCCAGGCCTATGGGAATTATATCCTCAGTCATCCTACATTGGGCCTTGTATTGCCATTAACACTGGTGCTCTTTCCTGGACTTGTGGTTCTGTCATTCCAAGTTCCATATAGAAAACTGGACTTGGACTTAGCAACCAATCAGGTTTATTCTTCATTTCCCGGAGAGTTAAATAAAAAATGATTCCCTACTATGGATAAGAACTCGGATTTGTGTCTCTTTACCGGGTAATAGCCTTTGCTTTCTTTTTTTATTTTAGCACTTCTAGGGATGAATGCGGAAGGCTGGTCCAGAAGTGGAAGTGACACCAAGAGCAACCAATCACGTGACATCTCTCAGATGAAATATAGCAGCAACCAATCAGATTGCACCTGTCATATAAAACAAGCGCTCTAATTTTGCGCCATTGCCATGGTTATTCCTAGAATTGGTTCAGGAAATTGCATTGGGCATCTACAGTGTTGGCAGGATTGGCGAGCAGCGCAGGGGTTCGCTGGGTTTTTGTCTCAGTCCCCTCCTAAAAAATGATGGTGCTCGGTAGACTTTATGCATCATGTTACTTGTCAGTCGAAAAAGTATGTGTACTTTTTGGGGAGGGGGGGATATTCTCGAGGTTTTTGGCCCCATAGACTTCAATGGGCAGGCCTGAAAAACAAACGTCAAACATATTTGACATGATTTTGCGCCCTATCCTGCTCCTGGTTTCCATTGGCTATAATGAAAACCGCTCAGACCTGAATACGTACAAATAAAACGCACAAAAAAAAAAGCTTCAAAATCACCAGAAAACGCTCAGATGTTGATGGAGGTCAGTGAGCTGGGGTCCTATCATCCAAAATGTGATTGGGCTCTGAAGTACGAGGGGTTTATCCCCCTTCCCCAATAGCCAGGGATGACCCCTGGGGCTCCCACTGACACCGCACATCCCAGCTCTGTTCTCCAGGGCGGCGCGTCCCCTTTAAGTGGACCCGAGGGCCGCCCCAGCTTCACGCGAGATTTCGTAGGGCAGACCTCGCGAGGCTTTGCGGCGGGGCCGCGATTGGCCGACTGGCTGTGAATGTAAGATGGCGCCCAGGGAGCTGTGAGGCGAAAATAATCTACCCGAGAAAGGAAAAAAACAAAAGCCCAGGAAGCCGCCAAGACGGGAGAAGGCTGCGGGGTGCAGAGCCGGGGCCGCCGGGCGTGAGGAGGAGGCGGCGGTGGTACGGAGAGCGGACCGGGGATACGCAGCTGCCTCCGGACAACGAGCGGGGAGGTGAGTGATCCGGGCGGGACCAGCGGAGGCCTGGGCGGGCGCTCCACCGTTCCACGCATATTCCGCCCTGGGTGAGCCGGGGAAGAGCCCCGGGAGAAGGGCACCCTAGGCTAAGAGGAATCCCCACCCCTGTGTCTCTTATGTATTCTCGACACAGTGCGCGCTCCCGTCGCTCGCCTAGGGGTCAGGCTGGATATTTAAAGGGGTCAGGCTGGATATTTAAAGGGGTCAGGCTGGATATTTAAAGGGGTCAGGCTGGATATTTAAAGGGGTCAGGCTGGATATTTAAAGGGGTCAGGCTGGATATTTAAAGGGGTCATGCTGGATATTTAAAGGGGTCAGGCTGGATATTTAAAGGGGTCAGGCTGGACATATCCATCCAGACCTCAGGGAAAGAGGCCAAGCAGTTAATAAGCAAGCATGTGCCAGGCCTATGGGAATTATATCCTCAGTCATCCTACATTGGGCCTTGTATTGCCATTAACACTGGTGCTCTTTCCTGGACTTGTGGTTCTGTCATTCCAAGTTCCATATAGAAAACTGGACTTGGACTTAGCAACCAATCAGGTTTATTCTTCATTTCCCGGAGAGTTAAATAAAAAATGATTCCCTACTATGGATAAGAACTCGGATTTGTGTCTCTTTACCGGGTAATAGCCTTTGCTTTCTTTTTTTATTTTAGCACTTCTAGGGATGAATGCGGAAGGCTGGTCCAGAAGTGGAAGTGACACCAAGAGCAACCAATCACGTGACATCTCTCAGATGAAATATAGCAGCAACCAATCAGATTGCACCTGTCATATAAAACAAGCGCTCTAATTTTGCGCCATTGCCATGGTTATTCCTAGAATTGGTTCAGGAAATTGCATTGGGCATCTACAGTGTTGGCAGGATTGGCGAGCAGCGCAGGGGTTCGCTGGGTTTTTGTCTCAGTCCCCTCCTAAAAAATGATGGTGCTCGGTAGACTTTATGCATCATGTTACTTGTCAGTCGAAAAAGTATGTGTACTTTTTGGGGAGGGGGGGATATTCTCGAGGTTTTTGGCCCCATAGACTTCAATGGGCAGGCCTGAAAAACAAACGTCAAACATATTTGACATGATTTTGCGCCCTATCCTGCTCCTGGTTTCCATTGGCTATAATGAAAACCGCTCAGACCTGAATACGTACAAATAAAACGCACAAAAAAAAAAGCTTCAAAATCACCAGAAAACGCTCAGATGTTGATGGAGGTCAGTGAGCTGGGGTCCTATCATCCAAAATGTGATTGGGCTCTGAAGTACGAGGGGTTTATCCCCCTTCCCCAATAGCCAGGGATGACCCCTGGGGCTCCCACTGACACCGCACATCCCAGCTCTGTTCTCCAGGGCGGCGCGTCCCCTTTAAGTGGACCCGAGGGCCGCCCCAGCTTCACGCGAGATTTCGTAGGGCAGACCTCGCGAGGCTTTGCGGCGGGGCCGCGATTGGCCGACTGGCTGTGAATGTAAGATGGCGCCCAGGGAGCTGTGAGGCGAAAATAATCTACCCGAGAAAGGAAAAAAACAAAAGCCCAGGAAGCCGCCAAGACGGGAGAAGGCTGCGGGGTGCAGAGCCGGGGCCGCCGGGCGTGAGGAGGAGGCGGCGGTGGTACGGAGAGCGGACCGGGGATACGCAGCTGCCTCCGGACAACGAGCGGGGAGGTGAGTGATCCGGGCGGGACCAGCGGAGGCCTGGGCGGGCGCTCCACCGTTCCACGCATATTCCGCCCTGGGTGAGCCGGGGAAGAGCCCCGGGAGAAGGGCACCCTAGGCTAAGAGGAATCCCCACCCCTGTGTCTCTTATGTATTCTCGACACAGTGCGCGCTCCCGTCGCTCGCCTGTCACTGCCTTAGGCGCGCCACCCTCGCGTGCGCGTTCTAGATTCTGCCTTCAGAGACAGAAAAAAAAAAAGAGCGGGGCTCGCGACACGTCACACCAGACTCGTGACCGCGCTGCTCGGCGATCCGCGACCCCGGCTTCTTTCTCTGCCGGGACTCGTCATTTACCTGAGAGGGGTGTTTATTTTTCTTTCCTCATTATATTTATTGTCGGGTTGTGGTGGGGGTCACGTGACCTCCCGTGGAGCTTCTGGAGAGCCGAGGGAGCGCGCCCGCTTCGTTCACGCGCGGCTCTCTGGCAGAGGAGGGCGGGGCTACTGTGAAAGGTCCGGGAGCGCGCGCTGGGAAGGAGGTAGAGGCTCGTTCCCTGACA